TCCAACTTGCAGGTGCGCCAGTTTCCTGGTCGTCCAAGAGACAGGGGGAAGTAGCCACGTCTACGACACATGCCGAATACATCGGACAGTACAATGCCATTCTGCATCTGCAGTGGCTCCGCACCTTTCTGGCTGAAACGCAACTGTATCGGTCTCCGGTCACCAACATCATGGCTGACAACCAGTCCGCCATTGCTCTTTCTCGCAACCCTGAATTCCACAAACGGACGAAACATTTCAATGTGAAGTTTCACTATCAGCGAGCCGTGCTGAATGCAGGCGAGATTGAGCTTCAATATATTCCAACTGAGAAACAGGCCGCAGACGGTCTCACCAAGCCATTGGGACCTACGGCCTTTGCCAAATTCTGTAGTCTCTTAGGAGTCGATGCCTCAGAGACTCCAAAGCAACATGCATGACAGCGCGGGCGCTCTTTCCACTTTATTTTCCCACGAAGGTTTTTTGAGTGGTTTTACTGAGGCCTGACTGCTCTGCGCAATTCCAGTATCGCCCTGCTAGCAAAGCGATCCTGAGGGGGAATGTTGTGATATGAGGCTGGTGCAGATCAGGAAGCAAGCCGCACCATCGGAATTAGCTCCGAGATGTCTATACAGACAACCAAGTTGATTTCCAATCAACTTGGCTCCGTGTTGTATATATAGCCTCATCTTTTCCTGTAGAATAAAATACAATTAACACCTCTGAACAACAACAGTCATATCCAATTCGGACTGTAATGTATGCACTAAAGCAGTATGCATTTCAGCACTTTTTGCGATCTTTGCGAGTGCATTTTTGTAGCGGGAAGAATGAGCTTCACTCTCTTTAAGCGCTAAGCTTAGTTTTTGCACTTTCTCAGTGGTTTTGGGGTGCTGAAGTCTGTATAGCCTGAGCTACCTGTTGATGGTGTCGATGGTCATTGGTAAGGGTCATAATCAACCAATCCTCAGTAATTAACTTAGAATTGATAGGCCAAAGACCTGTTAACCGAAAGCCGAGTTTGATAGTGCGTAAACGAAATGTTTTTTCCCGGATCGAGGTAATTGCATGAAGGAATTCTTCCTTAGTGAATTTCTGACATCCGGTCATTGTTACGGACTCGACAGCCTCACTATGCCAATGTTTATAAGCACTGAAAACACCGACATCGAGAGGCTGTAAGAAGTGGCTTGAATGTGGCAATAAAAAGAAAAGAATAATGTTATTCTTATCACAAAATTCACTGAACTGCCGGGTGAAATGTGATCCAAACCGGTCGCATAAAACTAGTCGCTTAACACCACGAGTTCGATGAATTGTCCATTCATGGAATCTTTGAATCCATTGAAATGCTAAGACGTCGGTCATATATCCAGAATCGGATACAGCAAGGTATTCATTAGTTTGAATAGCCTCAAACCATCGTAGCATCATCTGTTTACCACTTAAAATAATAAGTGGTGGACAGACAAAACCGTCCGCCGAAACTGCTTCCATCACCGTTACAGATTCACGATTTGTGACAGAGCCATTAAAGATTTTACACTTCGGTTGTCGAGTAATGATCCATTGATCTTTACCGACACCAATTTGAAAGCCAGTCTCATCGAAATTGTAGATATCGCCGGGTAAGATGCCATTTTCCTCGACGATCCGAGTGTATTCTTCAAACCACTTTTCTACTACCCCTTTATCCATTGCTCGGCTTCGTTCAATATCGAGGGCTCGTCGGCGACGTCGGTAATATTGAGGATTGCGTTTTAAGAACCGATGAGTCCAATGGTCGCCGACCTTAGGGGGTGGAATTGCGGGATCGGTATGCGCTTCTTCGAGGATTGAATTCGCGGCGACAGTGATTTGTGACTGGTTTATTGCAGCGCCCGCTTGATCGAAGTAATCAATGAATTGGCATAAAGCAGATTCTTGTGCAGAACTAAGCTTCCGACCGTTAGGTTGGCGTTGAAATAGGGATTTTCCACCATTCCATCGATACCGAAGCCGGCCCTCAGGTACGTTGAATTCACGTGCAGTTTTCGCGATATTGGGCTTAGATTGCTGGGATAAAGAATCCATTGCTTTAGCAATCTGAATCTCAATTTCGGCGTTGTCTTTAGGCATGGTGATGGAGAAATTGATAGTTGAATGTGGTAGGTTGAATTCTAGAAAAAATCTACAATTTAGGTGCAACTACAAAGTGGGTGGCGGACCCTCCTGTGGAGGGTCTGGTATTTTTTACCAAAAAATTGTAAGGCCCGGTTATTTGGGAGTCGATCAATTGTGCTAGTTCAACGATGCTTTCGAAAAGGCCCGAATTTTCTGCGACACCAAAATTTGTCACGCTCATTGCCCCACCGCCCAGACCCGCCCAGAAATACGTATTGAGCACTTGTTACAGTAAGTAACGCATACAAAGTCAAGAAACGCCTCACAGTCAGATTTTTGACAGCGCCTACGGTGCTGGCGAGTGAATCGGGGTATGGCGCAATCCATTATGCACAAGTATCTGTAACTATTCTGTCTACTATTATTAATCACGTCATTCGCCCAGGGCTGACCAGAGCCATGACAACGGGAGTTCCGTTAGCACGCTTCAGTCCGTAACACGATTGGCTCTCGGTGGCAAGTCAGAGTCCCCCCGGTTAGTTGGCAATTCCGGTGCTTTTGTAGGCAGAACGCTACGGGTAATGCCAACAGATAAGATGTTGGATCGGAAAAACTTCTACCCGGGGTTTCTTTATAATCCTGTGCAGCCCTTGAAGGGGGTCGTCCCTATGAAATAATCCCACATTTATTGCCATCTATCTCACTGAAATGGAACTATCAATACGCCCAATAGCCCATGTATGTTTATTCATAGTCTGTTGAATACCATTTACTGACATCTCTACACCAAGCCACAAAGTCGTGACCCTGATGGATTTTTTCCACTAGATGGAAAGGACCTAAATTCCGTCACAGATGAGGCTCTGGCAACTCTTCTCACATGTTCTCCTATCCTCCATCAGCTAGGTGGAACGACAGTTGTGCGGCTTTCAGAGACCTTGATCATGAAGGGTGGCGGGAGTGTCATGGCTAGTGAAGCGGAAATGCTTCATCTTATTGCTTCCAGAACCACCATTCGAGCCCCAAGAGTCTATCGCTCATTTCAGGTCAAAGATGATACACAATATTTTGGTACATCTGGGTATATTGTGATGGATTTTATCCCAGGTCAACCACTGGATGAGAGCTGGAACAGCCTATCCCGTGACACTCAAGGGAAAATCGCTGCGCAGGTTGCTGAAATAATCCAAGAGATGCAGTCCATTGAGCTTTCACAGCCTGGTCCCACTGGTGGAGGACCAAGTCGGGGTCGGTTCTTCACGGATTATAGTGCGGGGCCTTTTATGGACACTGCTGAAATGGAAGCTTGGTTTAACCACAAGCTAGATATCTGCAAAAGTGTGCATCAAGCCCCAAAAGACATTCCGCCATTCCATTTTACCAAGTTTGTCCTTACACACAACGACATCAGTCCTCGAAACCTGATCTTAGATCAACATGAACAAGTGTGGTTGATTGACTGGGCATATTCTGGTGCATATCCTCCTGTCTTTGAAAGCGCGGCATTGTCAATCCAGCCATTTTTCACTGATTTCAATGAAGCGGTGTTATCCCTCATTCCACGTTACCCTGAGGAGGAAATGCAACTTGATTCTATTGCATATGGATTAACCACCGCGGCATTGGCCTAAGGGAGGCTTAAATGGAAGCGGACTACACCCGTCACGGCGAACCCTATTAGAACTAGCTGGTTGAAGGAAATTTAGTTGGACAACAATGACAATAAAGATTTGCTCAATGCTAGAATTCCTCTTATTCGTTCGCTTCTAGGGTCGCATATTTAAAACACGTGCAATTGCTAATTAGTCCACCTAAAAAACAACAGACTTAAAGCATCTCATTCGCCCACTTTTTCCCTCGGGGACAATACTACCTAGAAGTGGAGATAGGAGTCAGGGCCAATGATGTCTAGTTTGTTCCCAATAGCGACACTCAGGCCAAGTTATACTGGAAGAACACAGTACTGAAATTATTGTAAGAATGAAAGGCATTGGTCGTGAATTGAACAGGCCACACGCGAAACTATCTCGGGCATCCGCATCAAAGCAAGCGAATATCATCAATGTATTCACCGGGACATTTTGGTTACAACCAAATGGGCGCGTGTACATATTTCCATCGCCAAATGGGACAATAATGATTCCCGTGTGGTACATACGCACAGCCGAATGACGGGCAGGAAGATGGAAAGCTGCTTGCTTCAGTTCGTGAGGGATCCTGAGACGGCGCCCAGAAATGAAGTTGCTTGGAGACTCATCACCAGACCCGATGGAGCCGCCCACGAACCGCCTCGCCTATTCATTTGTGGGCAAGGTGCAAGAAAATATGTAACGAGAATCTGTAACAAGAGATACAAATGAACGGACTAACTCAAAGCATTAAAAATACCGAAAATGGAGCGAAGAAAAAAGGACGCCGTTCAACACGAACGTTCCTACATCCCGTATGCCACGCCCCTGGGAGTCACTTGTTAGTCCCAGGGAATCCTCATGCTCCCGGGATTCCTGCTCAGGAGGCCAGGAACCGATGTAAAGCGCATGTTTTTTTTTTAAATCGGTTGAAATATTTTCCGGCGGGTGACCCACCGATCGCCCACCGGCACAAAGCGCGTCTTGGAACTACGCTGTATGGCTCGGAAACTTATCCGCATGCTAAGTGCTTTACTACCATGCCTAATTTTCACGGTAAGGAGTTCAAAATTCAGCTGTATGTAATGACAGTTTCTTGTGGGTGGTGAAGCCTGGCTCAAATTCAAGAGAAGGGAGGCTGCAAAATAATGGTGGGCACAAAAGTGAGTAGAAAGGACTGTGGGTAACAAAGAAAAGTGTGCAAGATAGCAAGGAATGGACCTGGTGGCCCGAAAGAAAACAAACAAGTAGGAAAAATATCGGGAAAGTGGGAAAGAGAAAAGGTGAGGCTCATTGGTAGTAAGCCCCCTGGTCAAGGGGAAGTGGTGTCTGATCTGGCCACAGCTTGAGAATTCCTGCTTTTGCCGCCGCAACCTGGGATGCGTTACCGACAAATTGAAGTTGGTATAAAAGATTAATCTGATCAGTAGTCCAGCATCTGCACCCAACTCCAAATGCATCAAATTCGTATTTATGACGCCCATATCGAGTAATTTCCCCCAAACTTGCCCCACTGACAGTCCAGGGGCAACATCGAGAATAAATTGGGCCTGGGCATCGGTAGAGGTTTCGTAAGGCAATTCTGAGATGATGAGGTTGGCCTTGGAGCCTCCCCGAAGGACCGAGCTCGGAACAGTGTGGCTTGGCTGACAATCAATTCGAACCGAGCTTGTGGGGGATGACGAAAGGTAGAGGCACCAGTGATTAGTACCCCCTGCCTTTCGATGTGGAACGGCGAGGATGCGCTTCACTGGCATAGCCAATATTTGAGCCTGGCGACTGGCAGGCACATAGTGAACGGGCTGAAAACCAGACATAGCTAACGAGGCAAGTCTAAAAAGATAAGTTAGAATGACCAAACTAACAATAAAACAACAATACAGAACCCACAGGATTTGAGAGAAATTGTACAGTCTGTACAAATTAGATCTTGCGGGCGAGAGAACACGGATGGATTGTGAAGGAAGTCAAGGAAAACGCGTCCTTTTAATAACCATAGATCCGAAATGGAGGCCCATGTTAATTGTCTAAATAAAACTAGTATAAGTCGTTTCATGAGACGCCCATTGCCTTACCCATCGTATAGGCGTCCGAGGATTGATGCTCCTCAGTACGGCGGTTAGCCAGGTTCCACTAGATAATCACCTTTATTTTGCCAGAGAATTATATATTGCTGCGAAATCGGTGGCTTCAGCCAATGAGAAGTGTAAAATGCACAACATTTTCCATTATGTGGTATTAGCGCTTGGGTATGAGACCGAGACGGGTGGATTGGGGATGTGCACAGCATTTAATTGACACACACAGGACATACTGTACTAAGATAGGCACAAGCCAATAATTTTGCCACTGTAGGCGCTGAACAAAGCGCCTCAACGAAATGCGATATTATAGGGTTTATGTTTTGTTTTGTTTTTGAGATTCTCCACTAAGTCGATCCTTTCCAGTATGCCCCCCAAAAAGTTTTACCGAAAATAGAAAAAGATCGTTTGATTGTTGGCTGCGTTGAGAAAACTTCCTTACGGGATGCTGACTTGAGAGGATTATGTGTTACTCTATGGGTCCCCGTAAATTCCCATTATTGATGAGCTGTGTTAATCGTGTTACGTGGTTTCTTTGATAAGGGTTATGTGCATGGTGGGATGTATGACGTGTGTCCGCAGCCTGGTCCCTCTTCTTTTACTGTTCCTCTAACATACCATGATCCCTAATGAACTTCAATAACCCATCCCGCCCTTTGCATACTCCAGAAGCTATGAAGATGGGAAGCTGTGCGGTGAATGGGCTAATGGCGTTGATAAAAGAAGGGCTGGCCATAGAAGGATTCAGAACGTACCGTTTAATGGAGCGGAGCCACTGAAATGCTACTGTGCTGCGGTTGAGTGGATCCCGCGGAATATACTATATATTCCCCGACCAACCATAGAATTAAAAAAAGGCCTGGAAGGTGGCCTTCTACCCCAATCGCGACAGTCTGTCCGGCTTCAAGTGACCGGGTCCAGATCCTCTATCCATCTCTACTCAGGCTAGCGACATTTTCCTCTACATGTCAGCGCTCCTTTTCCCTAAAGAGGTGCACTGGATAGAATTTCGATTTGCACGACTGGAGCGGACATCTAGTGAGACTATAGGAGAGGAACTGTTCTTCCTGCCGCGGGTTGAAACGGCCCTGGGGAATCTCTGTCGGGTACGCAGGCAGTTGCTAGACACAATCACCTGGCATGCTGTTAGTGCAACAGGCACTAGCTTCCGACTGTCCCTTTGGCCTCGTATGGAGTCTCTACCATATTCGAGTCTCTCGACATATTCTCCGCTGACTGCGCTGCCCCCAACGCTACCCCTGGATCCAACGTTTTTTGTGCATAATATATCGGGTAATTACAGATGATACCAGAACATGCAGAATACTTCGTGAACACTTTTCAATGAATAAGCGGGAAATAAATCGGCAGCTGTTCTATACACTTCTATTATGAATACTTAGTCATAAACATAGAGCCTGCTTCGTATGCGGTAATTCCCCTTGATTTGCAACGTCGATTGTAATATCTCTGTGTCTAAATATGGGACAAGACAGTCCTGAACAAACAATCCCTCACCCTCCTCTTGCGCTGTCCGGTAACCCTGTCGGATTCAGTCTCGAAGGGTAGTTCCAGTCATCAATTATGCTAGTCAGTCGTTCCCGAGAATATTCCAGTGCCTGCTCGAAAAAGCGCAGCTGGGGCAGCTGCTTGTCGTGGCGAAGCTGAAGACAGTTCATCTCTTTTCTCAGGTGCGTACCAGTCTCCTTTAAGTTCTGAATGCTCTGCTCTAGTCTCTCGCCATCTATGTGCTTGGACACGCACGACTCCCATAGGCGTCGATAGAGTCCGACAAGTCGAGCCGCAGGAAAGGCGAACTTGGGATCGTCGCATTCGAGGTCGGCTAGCACCTTCAAGATTGGTTGAAAGGGCTCGGTCGCCAGGGTGTGTCTGGTATCTGCGTTCTGCTGCGAAGTGGAGGGCTGCAATGGTCAGCAAAAACATTTGAAGCCGAATCGTTTCACTTACCAATGGAGAGACAAGATCAGAAGTTTTCTGTGGATTGTTTTTTCTCGCTAAGAATTGGCACTTCACTAGGCTGCTGTTCTCCTTTTTCTTGGTCTGGCGAGCTGTTCGGGGCATCCATTTTGTCCGCAGGAGTAAGTCACGGGTCTGGACAATACCATTTCCATCGGTCTTGGTGCCTCTTATAGACTATGCAAACACAGGTGACTATGTGCCGAATTCTACATTGTTAATTGATGCAGTCAAACTTTGACTAGAAACTGGTTACTTTTCGGTGGGCTGTTGCCAGTCGACTTGACTATGGGATGGTGATTAACGAGTCGGTTGGGGAAATTTGATCAAGCCTAACGGTGTTGAGGGTGAACGCCTGTGGAAATTGGATGTCTACTGAATTGGGAAGCAGGTATATCAAGGCCGACGAGGTTGTTTAAGCCTGGCCTTTCTCTCAATGAGTGAAAGACCCCTATATAAATGAGAACTCTTCTCCTGATCTATACTCCGCTTGGTAGGTCTAATGCTGATCACTAGATTCATGCCTGATGCGTCAGGTATCTAGTCTGAATGCGCCATGAATCTCAACAATCAACAAAATGATTTTCTTTGTTATATATATATTGTGCTAGTCGGGTCTTTGCAATCTCGCGTTCCGGGAGATGGACACACGAAACGGCTTGGTCTTGTTGCTTTAGGAAAGTCGCTGCTGAAGTAGAGTGACTGACAAAAAGCTGCATGCTAATACATCTTATCATGTAGCATGGGGTGACTTGGAAAGAAAACCTCCGCACTTTGAGATGTTCCCCTTCGCCGCCGGCTATTCACCATATCCCCACAACATTTCGCATCTCACATCCACAAACAATACATAACTAAGTTTCATTCAAGTCAATGCTTGCGATTACCTACTTATTCCAAGTCAATGTAGCGTTTAGTAAAGGTTTTCAGAGCAGATGCCAGCCTGTTTCAGAAGGTCTAGGGCTTATAAAGCTACATCGGCCGCATCCAATGCATGAAGTATACCAAGCAACTTGGACATGCCTGGCTGTTGGAGCAACTAAAATGTCCTGCACCTCATGACCGTGTGACACGGGGCCCCAACTTTGTCTAAGACTGACTAACCTAGACGCCGCCTTCGGTGATTTTCTGCCGAACCCACTTTTTGTGATTGGCACTCTGCCCTCTGACCGCCGAATCATCACTCTGCCAAGATCCTCTATTATTAACCAAGGTTTCTCCGGACAGCCGAGTGGCCTGCTCGGGAACAACATGTGCAACGGGCATGGCAGTCGGTGTCTAACCGGGCTCAAACACTCTGCTAGTATTGGAGGGTTCTTTTGGCGCTGCAATCGTTTCGGATGCGTCATGGACGAAAGGGTCACCGTCAGCCCGCCACTCACAGGAGGGTTCTAGATCGAGGTCAATCAATCGACAATCACCACTCGTTCTGGAATGAACGATGCGGCGTACTGCTGCGCGTGTCGACATGCTTGCGCACACTAATACCAGTTAGCTTGGCAAAACCCAAGTGGGTAAACGAGGGAGCGCTCATACCCGAAACCGCGGTCGATCCGCCTCTACCATCCATTAGGCATGCCAGCTCCTTGTCGATATTGATGGCATGAAAATGATATTTCAAGCGCGTACTGTTGCGGTAACGAATCCGGTCCACGGGCTGAGTATCTAGGATATGTGTGGTGAATTGCAGGATCTGCCACCGAGTTAAGCCCGACCTATTATAGAGAGATGGAAAATTCACTCACATCAAATCCCCGGTCATCCCGGTGTCTATGCTCGGGACAATCGTTTCGGTCAAACATACGGTCGAGTTCGAGGATTTGCGAGATTTCATCCCCCACCCAGTGGGAATGGTCTATTCCGGTAAGCACACGACGCGGCAAAGCATCCGAGAAGGGGGGCACTCACTGAAATTCTTCAGCCTAACATGCCACAGGACTTTTAGCCGTCGCACCGTGTTCTTCCGGCTTCGGCTTTCTTGAACGAGATGTAGTATGAACGGCAACGCGCGGAAGAGTCCAATATCTTCAAGTACAAAGACAACGGTCCCGTACTGGCCAAGGCTAGGTGGATGCCCATACGGACCCAGCACACAGACCGGAAAATGAATCGTCGAGGACGTCGCATGATCAGCAGCTTGTGCGATTCTTCCAGTCACGCCCGGTCGGGGTCGGGTCACTATGCGTAACATGCGAGTGGTCGGTGCTCCTGGCGCGTTGTGCACTGTGTCCACGGACGCCACGTAGAATGCTGGAAGCTGCAACGAGGACCTCACCCCTAAGCGTGGCATCCAGAGCTGTACATACTGCCCCGGTTGAGCCACCCACTCCATGGGAACCGCAATATCAAGCCATAAGAGCCGGTTGAAAGACTGTGCGAGGGCCCGTCGAGAGGTGATGCGCCACGACCTGTGGAACCACATGGTATGCAGACATGTCCCAGCACTCCAGCCCAATCCGGTACAAATACCGCCCAGTAGAACCCAGCGGTAGGCCGATGCGCGGTCGATCAAATGGTAGGTAAGGGCGCCGGTGGCGACTGAAGCAAGCACATGGTGGGCCTTAAGGCCGAGTTGCGGCCAACGTCGAAGAATCGCAGCGAGCGTCCAAGGCAAGATCGACAGGAGACTACAACCAGCCTGTTCAACATTAGCCACTTTTCTAGCTAGCAAATCGCGGAGAAATCGGGGAGGCTGCCATTCTCTGGCCCGCTTCACGCACCACGAGTGGAATGACGAGGGGAGCTGCAAGTCTTGTATT